ATGTTCTGTATATATATATATATATATATATATATATATATATATATATATATATATATATGTACACACACACATATGCAATTTAGAAAAAAGTCAGAATTCTATAAAAAAAAAATTTTTTCGCAACAATTTTTTTATTCCATGGCGAAAACAGACTTTAAAGGGGTCATATGATGCGATTTAAATTTTTCCTTTCTCTTTGGAATGTTACAAGCTCTTGGTGCATAAAGAAGATCTGTAAAGTTGCAAAAACTAAAGTCTCAAATCCAAAGAGATATTCTTTATAAAAGTTAAAACTTGTCCACGACCTCCTAAAACGCCTCATTTAAACACGCCCCCCCACATGTCTACGTCACTGTGTGGGAAGATTTGCATAACACTGTCCAAATGTTCACGCAAAGAAAGAAGGCATAACTTTTATTCTCGCTGTAGTATTGTTGTTGCCGCCACCCCGCCATGATGTGGAGATGCTGTGTGTTTCGTTGTGAAAGCGAAAAACACAGTATAAGTCATTATAATAAGTAATTATGTCCCCACTGGATGCAACAAATGCCTCGTTTGTAATGGGTTTTATTGGTTTTGTTTCGTCGTGCCGGGAGATGGCATCCCAGTATGTTTAGGGGCGTAACATTTCCGTCACACGCTTGAGGTAAAGATGTTTTAAATAAATACTTTGATATCACAACACCACCACTAGTGAAAATGTCTGATTTTGTCCAACACAATTTATATTATCTGTAATAATAACAATAATAATAATAATAATAACAATGATAAATATTCTACATTTTGATGTACAAATGAAAAAAAATCACACTTTCAATGTGGTCTTGAATTGGATCCCACTGTATATAGAAAGCATCACTTTTTCTATTACAGAATTATTTATGTAAGATGCATGCTGTCAGCATGTGGAGGAGAGCACCCCGGCTCAGTAGGAAATAAACACGTGAGTGTGTGTGTGTGTGTGTGTTCTGGCAGTGAGGGGAAAGTCCAGGCATAATGTGAGGAGCAGCATCACGGCGAGTGCAGTTTGTGAATGTAAGCTTGTCTCGCAGCAGTCTGTCTCCCTCTGCAAATAACAGGGTTCAGCGGTGTGAACACAAACACACAGACACACCACAACCCTGGCACACACACACACACACACACTTGGGTCACTTTCCAGTCAATGTAAACGCCTCCTTTTTTTCCCTGGAACTCTGTGTCTGTACATCCTAGTGTTATTTTTTGTGTTTTGTTTTTGTTTTACTTTACATGAGTTCCAAAAGCCTTAAGCAACTAAGATTTCTTTTTTCTTCAGCAAGTTTGCATTAAATTGAGAGTAAACACATTTATAATGTTACAAAAAAATTATATTTTAAATAAATGCTGTTCTTTTGAACTTTCTGTTCACCAAAGAATTTTTAGATAGATAGATAGATAGATAGATAGATAGATAGATAGATAGATAGATAGATAGATAGATAGATAGATAGATAGATAGATAGATAGATAGATAGATAGATAGATAGATTTTTTTTTATTTTGTGAAAAGAGTGACAGCACTACTGTTTTCAAAATTGAAAATATGTTTCTTGAGCACATATTAGAATGATTTCTGAAAGAACATTGTGACACTGAAGACTAGAGATGCTGAAAATTCAGCTTTGCATCAGAGGAGTGATTTAGATTTACATTGTAATACATATTAAAAAAGAAAACATTTTAAATTATAAGAATATTGTGCAGTATTTCTGTTTTTACTGTATTTTTTATCATACACTCTTAAGAAAAATGGTTTAAACAGTACCAAAAAAGGGTTCTTGAGCTTGTAAAAACAGCAGAACCTTTTTGGTGCTAAATAGAACCCTTTTTATAGGGTTCCATAAAGAACCATGCTTTGAAAGATCTATAGGACATTAATGGTGTGATAAATAACCTTTTTAATGATGGTTTATTTAAATTAATTAGCATGTTAGTATATTTATATAATTAATATTAGTATTATTAATATTATATGTATATGCCAGACTGTTCATATTTACTAGTCGACTATTCAGCCAGAAAAGTAGCCGACAACTCAATATTTACCTTATGTAAATGAGTAAATGACGGAAAGTCAAACAGTGTGCGAGTCTAGAGAAGGTTCACTGCTGAGATGATGAGGCTGACAAACCAAAGCGCGCATATCTGCATTTCCAGGTTCATGCAGCTGCTGTTGTCA